TTTGCAGTAAATATGAACATGGATTGACACGAAAATGTAGTAATTACACCATAAGTGCATATTATTAAAGTCTACTGTGTTTCACAGTCAACACATATGGCTTTTTGGCTAGGTTTAAAGTGAAAGAGCACTTTTAAATAAGGCAATAATAGATGGCACTTGTGGAGGTAGAAAAACAAAGTTCTTTATGAACCGCATAGATTGCTTGTAATAAAGATTTAAATAAAAAAGGAAAGGCAGTAGAGCTGACTATTTGTCAAAGGTAAGTTTGTGATAACGTAAGAAAAGTAGTTTAAATGTTTTGCCACTTGCTTGAACAACTTAATATATAAATCTAGAAGTAAATGCAAAAGTAAAAAGCATTGAACAATGTGTTGCTTATATTTATTGTTTAAACATGTCTGTTAAAGATTGTATTACTGTACTGTGTAAAAAAATAAAAATTGCAATGCTGAAAAAAACATTTTCAGTGACGATGTTTGGATTTGAAATCAAAATAATGGATAAATGTGTTTGTGGTAAACAGCCATGGATCAGTAGCGGACTCTTCTGTGAAAGCACAGACCGTGCTGCTTCCCCCCTCACAAGAGTCGCCTAAGAAGGGAATCCCCCCCACCATTTTCAAAAATGAAATTCAGGCCCTGAATAAATGTCTAAAAATCCTGATTGGAGTATCACTATAAATAGTTATAAATGATAAAAACAAGACTTTAAAAAGATCGGTATCGGCAGATACTGCTTTCTGTGATCCTGATCGGAGCACCCCTACTGCCAACTATAGTGTACTGAAACTGTGTACTAAAAGACCTCCTCTGACATGTTGAGTGCTGGGAAGAGAGCTTTGAGAAAATCGTTTGGGACTGGTCATGGACCGGGCCCCCCCCTGAAAAAAACATTTTCAGTGACGACGTTTGGATTTGAAATCAAAATAATGGATAAATGTGTTTGTGGTAAACAGCCATGGATCAGTAGCGGACTCTTCTGTGAAAGCACAGACCGTGCTGCTTCCCCCCTCACAAGAGTCGCCTAAGAAGGGAATCCCCCCCACCATTTTCAAAAATGAAATTCAGGCCCTGAATAAATGTCTAAAAATCCTGATTGGAGTATCACTATAAATAGTTATAAATGATAAAAACAAGACTTTAAAAAGATCGGTATCGGCAGATACTGCTTTCTGTGATCCTGATCGGAGGGGACTGGTCATGGACCGGGCCCCCCCCTCCAGGCACACAGCCTGCTCATATTTTCAACACCAGCAATCAGCTTTGTGAGGGCAACAGTGGCACAGATTCCCCACAAAAGATCCCAGCATTCCTTTGACGGGGTGAATACTAGACCCTTTATTCATCCGTGTCCCATTTTCCTCAGAAGACATCCTTTGCCAGAACACCCATTATTTCAGCATGTATTAGCATTAGGATTGACAAATTGGAGATTTTTTCATTTGAATGAAATTACAGAATGTCTTCACAGGAGCATAAACTTAATTATTGCTAATTATTTCATTCTTTAATCACCTTTCATCACTTCCTGGTAAACAGCTGCTCTGCATTTTGCGCAATTTCCTATGACTCATCAACATGCAATACAATTTAGACAGCAAATAAATATCTATGTCAATATGTATGATGGATGACTTAACTAAGTCCACACACCTCTTTAAACAACTCTCATACAGTCTTTGGCTCCAGCATAGAGTGCCATAGTGACACCCTAATAAGAAAACAAAGCCCAGAGACCAGGATGCAATTACAGGCCATAATCAATCCTCAAGAGAGTAAGCAACAAAAACAATTGCCCTGCTCTTTGTCTCTATGGGTTCCTTCTTTTGTTCAGCTCTGAAACAAGACCTACCTGTCTGGGCTGAGCGTTCAGGTAAGGCTCGAACTCATCATCGTTCAAAGTATCCTTTTGGGTAACAGCTCCGTTTTGCACTGGAAAGCAAAAGATACAGAACGTTAGAGAACATAATCAGTTTATTTTTACTTGTCTTTTTTTCAAAAAAAAAAAAGAAGAAAAAAAAGCGACGCGATAGTTGTAATATTAGGCCAAAGGTTTTATCCAGGAATTTTTCAGCTTATGGGTGCTTCCCAAGGCACAAAACCAGAAGTCATGGTGCATTTAAGTACCTCAGGGATGTTTGTATTTATAAATTGGGAAGTCCTAATTACAACGCCAAGTGTATTCAAATCCCTTTGGTAGGCGCGAGATGCCTATTAAACTTTCAACAAAATATAGTTTTGTTTTTAGTTTTTTTTTAACTCTACTTCTACAAAATGAATTAAATGTGCACCAGGTGTGTTTTGGTATGTTTTTAAATCAATTTAGGAAGTACAACAACATTGCACAAACAACTTAGCTAGTTTTATTGCACAAAAAAAAAAACACATGAACAAATTTACCATTAGCCACAGATGCTGTACCCATTGTCTACCATGTTCAACTCAAAAACTTGAGGCTCAAAGAAAATCCCATGTTTCCCAATCATAATTATGACCTTGGTGGTCAACTTCTTTTCGACATGACTTGAACACACCATCAGATCAATGCACCTGCTGCTGAGATCAACATGTACATGAATCACTGAATATCACAACTTAAATTTCTAAGAAATAGCTTGACTCAAACAGAAGGCATCTCATCTTAAACAGAAAATAGAATCTGACAAACTTTTCAGTCAGACACTTTATTTTACTGAAGTGTCAGATGTTCATTCATCACAGCCAAATTTATTTGAACATCAGAAATCAGCCAATAATCTGAGCTTCATACTAGTTTATTCATTGTCAATCCAACACTGTAGTCTTAAATATCAAAGTTTAATGTTTATTCTATTGAAGTTAACTTACACATTATATAGTAATCGTTTTATTAAGCTTATACTGGCCCCGTTTTATTATTTCCCCAGCTTTTGTCACTTCGTGCCTGTTAATAGTGTCTTTAATTAATACTGTAAGCCAAACAATGTCAGTAAAGCACTTCTATTAATTGCAAATGGACTAAAATAAAAATAAATAAAAAGCTCTCACATCTTATCCACGTGGTCACATGCACTGATTCAACACGCAACTGGAATGTGAAAGATTGATACACTACTGAGTGTGGTGCTGAAAATCCCCTCAACAGGTTCCTCTTGGCAGCGTTTAGACGCCCGCCTCTTGGCCACCGTTACAGATGATGATTTTAAGTTTAAGGGAGATATCTTCAGCACTAAACTGGAAGAAAACGCCCCAAAACAGCATTCAAGCAGAGTGTAGGTGGGTGTTTAGGTGCTTGAGTGTCACGCGTTCAGCTGTACCTCGGCCTCACTACTGTGCTAGGCGGCTAACTAGCGTGGGCTCCAAACAAGCTCCCCTTACATATGAGAAACTAAAACCAACCCGATTCTCTACTAGAAGACCATTTGTCTTTTAATTCCGCGTGGGATTGTTTTAATAAGGTTTAACGGTTGAAATAATAGGGAATCGGTATGAACACTCGGCCTGCTAACAGCAGCACCAACACGAGACTTATAACAGCACAGCAGCACTTCACCTACCTTTGTTTGTTTGGCCTTTCGGTCTCTGGATTGGGTCCAGGTGATTCATGAAGGAGTGAGTTTGGAGAGGAAAGAGGGAGAATAAATGAAGGTTTATATGAAGCTCAGGCCTGAACTCGCGTTGCGAGAGAGAAAAAAACCCCCGCTCCGACGCCACTTCTGCTCAATGTTCACAAAGTGCCGCTGTTTACCTGCTCCAGAAGGCTGCTGGCTGACATTTCTCTCTCCCCGGAGCCTGCGCGTTTGTTTGCGGGTTAAAGTCAACGGGAAATGAGTGTGTTTTTAGAGTCTTTACACCCGTCTCTCTCTCTTTCTCTCTTTCTCTATTTCTATTTCTCTCTCTCTCTCTCTCTCTCTCTCTCTCGCTACAGCTGCAGATCAGAAACACAATGGCGGGCTGCAGTTCCTCCACACTTCAACATGGCCGAGCGGCCGTCACACGTTTATTCACGGCGGTACAGCGCCACCCTACGGCTGGGAGGAGGAGGATGAATAGGTGTGTGATGGGGAATCTCCATCTGATATTTAGACAGTTATAAATATGCTTTAGTAGTAGTACTCGTTCTTTATTGCGGTGCTACGCATAAAAATGTGTTTTTCCTTTTATACACTAAATTGTTTTTATATCCCGATCATTAATATCTAATATTTATAAAACATATGTTTTATATACATTTATAAACATGTTTTAGATGCACGTTCCTCACAGCGTTGCTAGGCATAAAATAAATTATATATTACATATAGTCATATATAATCTTTATAATACATAATTGTAAAATATATACAAATAAAAAATAATATAAGTTAATTTTCTAAATCCCCTGTTAGTTTTTCTTCTTCTTCTTCCTCCATTATTATTATTATTATTATTAAGCCAATTCCTTAACATCATCTAGGAAGAAACACCATTCTGATGAGAAAAAAAACAACTGCAAACACATCTGGATGTATTGGGTAGATTTGATGAATTCTGTGGTATTTGCTTGTTTGTCTCAGTTTAAAAATATCATCCTGAAATTGAAGAGCTTGGTATGTTATCATCAACATTTTAAAAAATGGCTAAAATATCCAACTTATCTGATATAAAAAAAATTGACACCCTTGTGTAAGTTATCTCTCACTGTGCTTACTTTATTTATATCTTGTTATGAACAGGAATTAAGAAAAAGATAAATAAAACCTGCCCATTTTTGTGTTAATATAATGACTTTATATTGTATTTGTTTGCTGTGTTTTATGAACTACTGCATGAGAGCCCCAGTAGAAATAATATCTGCACTGTCACTTGTAGGCCACTAGATGTCATTATTATGCAGCAAATTGATATGAGTCAGTCCATTGGCCAATACAATATGGAATGCCATCCCTGCCATAATTAGAAATAAATAAATGTGCAAAGAAATGTAAAAAAAAGCAAATATAAATAAATACATAAATATACACATTTTATTTCCTTATTTATGTATTTTTCCCCATATTTATGTATTTTTTCCTTTTATTTATTTATACATTTATATATTTCCACTTTTATTTATTTTCACATTTATGTATTTATTTACATATTTATTTATTTATTTCCACATGCATTTATTTCTACATTTATTTATTCATACATTTCTTTGTCCGTAGGGTAATGAGTAGGGCTGGGTTTTGACACAAATTTCACGATTCGATTCGATTCTCATTCACAAGCTTTCGATTCGATTCGATTCGATTACCGATTCGATTCAATTCAGTATCGATTATTTTGGATATATATCAGGTACAGTACTTGCCAAATTTTCTCAAGAAAAAAAAATCTCTCAACTAATGCTGTAACATATACATGAGAGTCAGTTGGTACTACATTACTATAATATTGAAGGTTAAAATGAACTGATTTGTAAGCTATAGCATACAACTGTTAAAATTACACAATTAAGTTTTTAAAATAATAAAGTTACAATTACATAATAATATTTCTACTTCAATTCGTTTTTTTTAAATATAAAAATTTAAATGATGGCTGTCATAAAAAATGTTGGATTTATTCAAACATAAATTAAACATTAGAACAGTAAAAATAATAATGAATATGTTATGTGGTGCATATATTTAGCAAAATACCCCTCTCTACAGTTTATTTTTCTATCCGACTAATGAGATTATGGTCACCGAATATGTTTTTTTTCTGAGGCAAATGTGACGTTACGTGACATTGTTTACAAGACGTTATATTGACTCTTTGCGTCTGAAACATTGATTGAGCGATTACATGAGACAGGATACAGATTGTAAAGTTGTACTCTTTCTTTTAACTTACTTCGGATATTTAGTCATTGTTATTTTGTGTTGAAACTTGTATTAATGTGGAGGAGATGATCAGTTCACATCACGTGCGCCTCGCGCTGCTGCGTCTGTTGAACTGAGGCTACAGCGATCTGTCACTCCACATTAAACAGCGCCAAAACAGCATTTATTGTCGAGCTTCATCTTTCAAAATAAATGTAAAGACAGTGGGAAAGGGGAACAGAGTGTGACAGGCACAGTGATGAAGCTGGTCTCTCTCTCTCTCTCTCTCTCACACACACACACACACACGATGCGCAAAACTCCGCATTTGAACAGTCAATAGCAAATACTTAAACTAATAACAAAACAGTAGCTGATTCAGAAGCGCCAGATTGTCATAGCAAAGTCAGAATGACCTCCTCTCCTAGGTTCACGAAACGGTCGTCCATAAAATGCATTGCTGTTCTGTTGTAAGTCATCTTAAAGATTCCTAAATGCATCTACTTCTGGAAGGCCAAATAAAGTGCTTTTGCTTTCGCCTAGAAACACCCAGCGTCTCCCTGACATGGCTGCTTCAACACTAACTGCGGTTACTGAAACCACGCCTTCTTTCTTTGCGTGCACATTTGGGCGGCATTATGCTAATATTTCCACATAGTGACCTAGATATGTGGGGGCGTGTTAGAACGAGCCGTTTTAGGGGGGCGTGGCAGAGTCTTAACTTTGATAAAGAATATCTCTTTGGTTTTGAGACTTTAGTCTTTGCAACTTCAGGGATCTTATCTATGCACAATCAGTTTGTAACACTCCAAAGAGAAAGGAAAACTTGAAAACGCATCATATGACCCCTTTAAGAATCGATATCGTTCCGTAAAAATGAGAATCGATTAATATCGAGATATCGATATTTTTTACCCAGCCCTAGTAATGAGGAGAGCGTGTTTTACCTCAGGAATAGCAATCGAGCCAGAGTAGGCGAGGAGTAAGCTTTGAGGCCACAGTGACACCTTGTGGTGCCCAAACGAAGTACAAGAAGTGTAACCTACAAGCCTGTTTATAGTGTGGGATGAATGATTTAGATGGGCAATATGGCCAAAATCTTATATCACGGGTTATTATTTCAATTTCACATGGGGGGTTGTTTCGGCTGGGAAGCTTCTGTGATCATGTGCATTTGCTGAAGCTCGCGAAAGCGTGCAATTGCTTTCTTATTGCGCGCTGTTTTTTTTAGGTTTGCATGTTTCAAGTCATGGCCTAATGGTTAGAGATCTTCCACCTTCAATACCATGACTGAGGTGCCCTTGAGCAAGGCACTGAACCCCCAACTGCTCCCCGGGCGCAAAAAATGGCTGCCCACTACTCCGGGTGTGTATTCACGGTGTGTGTATGTTCACTGCTGTGTGTGTGCACTTTGGATGGGATAAACGCAGAGCACTAATTCCGAGTATGGAACCATACTTGGCCACATGTCACGTCACTATAAAGCTTCGGGATAAAAGGAGGCATCAGTTACTGTAGAAGATTTGTGCCTCACACCACTTCCCGTGTGGTCACCGCATCAACTAATTATAATGGGTTCTCTTGGTGTAGATGCTTTAGATACGGATTAATCCAACGCTCTATCGCAACCAATTCCTACGTATTTTACGAGATGGCTAATTCGTACGAATTCGTACGACTTCACTCTAATGATTTTGTACGATTTGTCTAGACCCCAGTGACGGGTAGGTTTAGGGGCGGGGTTAGGTGTAGGTCATTCGTACAAATTCATACGAATTGTGAGATCGGGCTGATTAATCACACGTCTTAAGCCAGGCTCACACTATGCAATTTTTAAAAAGTCCTTTAGGATTGTACTTGTCAGACTGTACGAACATGATGATCATGTCACACTGTGGGATCTCAGTTGTTTTTAATGTCAGACTGTACGACAGTCAAGACGTGTAAAAAATGGGTGCGTGCAAGAAAACTTGTCTGGAGTTTTACATTATCAACCCATACATGTCCAGTGACTGCGAGCTGCATTGCACGCAGGGCTGTAATGTTGGCTATCATTAAAAGTATATGAATGGCGGCATTAAATAGAATGACTTCTATTTAAGAAGAATAGTGTAAGCAGCACTACACACCCACATGAAAACAGCAGCGCAACCGGTGTTTATCATAGCAAAGGCAACGTATTTTATGAATTTCGTGAGCGGAGGATGAGAGCGCCGGAGTTTATGCGGTTAGAAGAAATCTCTAGCATTAATTCTGATTAAGGCTTGTCTTGAAAAATGAAGACAGTTTGACGTTCGTCGTAGGAGAAGTCACACTGCAGGACTGTGCGCCAAATCTTCTGACACTGCCAGAATTTCGTCAGAGGTCAAATTTGATCACAACGGCCATTAATCGGCTGTCGGTGAACATGTCAAACTAACGATCAAAGACTACAGATTTTAGCCTAGGATTATTTGTGATTTATGATTTTTTTTAATGAAAATTTCATTTGATAGAATAGCTAGGGTATTCATTATGTTTGTATATTGCTTATGACGAAAATTCATTAGCCTAGCCTATTTGTTATGAAGCTGATTTCAAATTCTTCATAAAAAATTTTAAGAAGAAGTTAAAAGTTAAGAAATAATGAAATTATCCTGTAGGCTATAGATCTATAGGCTAATTTTCTTAACTTTTATTAGACTGCAGATCGGAAAAAAATAATTATTGATAATCTTTAAAATGTGAGAAATCAATAACAATAACAATAGCTGCCTAACCTCTCTCTCGTTCTCAATTTTTACAAAAACTGTACAACTGTACTATTAAAGCAGTGCAAACTAGATGAATAAAAACAGTGAGTAAACATATAGTAAAAATACAAGCGTAAAATAAAAAAGCTGAGTAAAATTAGAAAATAATTCACAAATATAATAAAATCGAATAACACTTTTTTGCTAATACATTTTTTTAAATCAAACGTTGTATTTCATAATATCATTTAAAGAACTGAGCCTGTGACCTGCACATGAACAAAAAAAAGGAACAGTTGTGTTTTATTAACATTAAAAAAGATTAATAGCCTAAATACTGTAACAACTGTACTGCTCACTGTTAATGTTATTTAATGCATTAAATAACAGTAACTAATGAGACCTATTCTGAAGTCTTACCGACTAATTTCTTCTTTATATCAGCGGAAGCCAACAAAATA